TACGACTACGAATTTATCTAGTCAGCCTTCCAAGCCCCAATCCAATATGTACACACCAACAGAAACCGCACACTTAACCCATCCTTCTCTATCCCTCATAGTTTAAAAAAAATTTCGTGACTCAATGTCCTGCACGTGGAAAAATCAAGTTATTTCTCAGTCAAGGCCTAAATTGCCCGTGCACGATTCAGAACCTACTCTAGAGACCCTGACCAGTTACAGGAAAAGCCACAGCGATACTGAGTTAGTCATAAATTTCACTCCACCTACAATCAGTGACTTACAATGACACTTCTTTCTGTTTGTCCCCGACTGCATAACGATATAAATTATGCATGTGCATGCTATAACATTTCGGCTTATTGTTCAATTTGTTTCTGAAACTGAGGTCATCCTCATAGATTTCAATAGCTCATTCGTTTATTATATTAAAAAGGCCACAGTCAAACTAAAGCACACAAACCTGCAGTGACAGTTGAAGCTCACGGATGGACTCTGACAACTTGGATACTGTAAACTGGAGTTCCTTTTGCGTCCTGAGAAGACGGTTGCGCTCACATCGTTGATTTTTTTCGAGATTGGCAATATATTTTTCGAGCGACTAAAATACATAAAAGACATCAGAAAGTCCGTCTATTTCTTGTCCAAAATCGAAAAATTATATAAAAATGACTAAAGAAAAACTACCCATTTTTATGCGTAGGCAACTCTGTTGTAATCTTCAATAAGTAACGTAGTATCCGTAACTAAACGAAAATCACTAAATATTAACACATATTCTATTTAAAACGTTTAAAGATGGATGGAAAACGCCTTATAAAAACAGCAAGGCAAGATTTTTACGGAGATCCTCTTACACAAATTGGAACGCTTAATACGAGTGAGGTGAGAATAACACGATTTCACGTAAAACTGAGTTTATTGTGCTACGGCTGTGTGTGACAAGTGCGGTATTTTGGTAAAACCCTTAGGGATGGTTAGATTTGCTTAACTGAAATCTTTTCTATAGGTCAATCAGAAAACGCCCGGTACAGTGTTATCATGAATTCATAAGGACTTAAAATATACGTCATGCAAAACTATTATATCAGAAATCTTGACGATATCATATGCTTAGTGTCAAGGTCAGTTTCAGTTGAAGTGCTTTACATGTCTGTCAAGTGTGGGTGGTACGTACAGCGGTCGACTTCTCCTGAAGATCCAATTCTCCTTGCAATCTCGATACGGCTGCAAGTAATTCTTCTCTTTCTGGTAGATGTTTCTCGAAGGCAAGTCCACGTAAATGCTGAAGCTCGTCTTCTGCTTTTTGCCGGGCGAGTTCAGCCTCCTGTCGGGCCTTATTTGTTCTCATAAATATTTCTTTAAGACGGCGCAGTTGTTCTCGGTAGATGCGGATCTCCTCCATTTGACTGTTCATAAGTGAAGGTAACTTGGCGTTTTTTCCATCGAGCTGAAATATTCAGTCATGTTCATGAGGATTGCTTTGGAGGATTACTTTAGAAGTTACCCGAGAGTAATTGACGAGGAAAATATTGGAGAAAAGGCACAATTTATATAGGTACATTTTTGATACAAGTTTGCGGCAATCGAGTCTGCTTGAAAGATAATCAGGCGTATTCATTAGTCGAAATTATAAACGATAAAGTTCTTAGTCGTCAAATGTTTGCTCAGTCAAAAAGCTTGCCAAAGGTTCATAAATGTAAACGACTCCACGTCAAAAATGTGGTCGATACAACTAACGCAAAGAAATATTTTATATGTAAAAGCATGGAAAAATAATATGTGATGCCGAAAACGTTGATGTCGAACAGCAAACCATTGATATTATGACCTAACATAAAGTGTATTGTTTCAACCGCCTGTGAGACTGATAATCTGGAAGAAATGAATTCTTGAGCAATATGCATTTTTCTCATTGCATTTCAATGCTATTTCAAATTGCAATATACTTTATATAAATCTCGCACGTAATTAGCCTTTCTTCTGTTCACTTCACGATTAAGTTTCATATTGTAGATAAGGTATCGTTTGATTTTTGAAACACTCATAAAAGTGAGATCCGTTTAGGTTGTGAAATGAGCATTCATAAAGCATCATATCCGTCCATTTGTTATTACTGCTTCTAAAACCTATAACCTGGTTCATATCCTTTACAAAATTTTATGAGCACTATGTGCCCTCTTCCTTATAGCGTAGATAATTATAAGATTTTCTTTGGACAGAATGTTAAGAGTATGTCGAATTGTACGTTCTGTGGACTAGAGTCCGTTATTAAGTACAAAGCATCAAACTGAAAACACTGGTGACCATCTTAATCAGTAATAGCTAAGTAACCAAATAGGCAAAGATGATACGAGTAAATAAATTATGAAAGCTGAAGCCATATGAAGTCGTTCTACTCTAAGACAAACATTAATTTTTCAAGATGTGTACCTTGTAGTGCTGATCAACGTTACAGCAAAGCCAAAACACTTATTTCTTTCCTTAGCTCCATATTAAAAATCAATTGTAAATGTGCGGTAAGTCTTTTTTTAAATTTAAGACCTTTTATGTTTTACAACAGTTAATCCATCTAAGTAAATTTATGTGCTAATATAAGATAGTACATTTAGACTGACTACCATGAAATAGCTCATAAGGAAGCAAATAGAAAATTTTAATATAAATTCAACACACTCATTTAACGAAGTCAGAAAAATTCAAAATGCCAAGGTCAGCATGAAAGCAGAAGAAATCTACATATAAGCATATCTTACTAACAATGAATAGCAATCTACGTCAAATGGTTCGAAAAATCCGACATCTGCCTGATTACATTGGTAGTTATACCTCTATTGTTCAATGGCCATTTATTAAATACGGTTGTATCAGGCGAGAATTATATTATTAGGCGGTCGGTATAATATACATGAATAGTTTTGATTCTAGATATTA